CAAAAACCATAGTAAGTATTTTAAACTTTCAAAAAGGGTAAGAAAAAAGGAAAAACGTATCACAATTGAGAATGTTTAATTACCTTTTAAAATTTGTATATATATTTGTAAATGTATCAAGTGTAAGTATTTTGAACTTTAAAAAGGATATAAAAACAACAACCCTAAAACCATAGTAAGTATTTTAAACTTTCAACAAAAAGGGTAAGAAATAAGGAAAAACGTATCCTAGTTGAAAATGTTTAATTACCTTTTAAAATTTGTATATATATATATATATATATATGTAAATATATCAAGTGGAAGTATTTTGAACTTTAAAAAAGGGTTATAAAACAACAACCCAAAAACCAAAGTAAGTATTTTAAACTTTCGAAAAGGGTAAGAAAAAAGGAAAAACGTATCCTAGTTGAAAATGTTTAATTACCTTTTAATTTTTTTATATATATATGTAAATATATCAAGTGTAAGTATTTCAAACTTTAAAAAAGGGTTATAAAACAGCAACCCAAAAACCATAGTAAGTATTTTAAACTTTCGAAAAGGGTAAGAAATAAGGAAAAACGTATCACAATTGAAAATGTTTAATTACATTTTAAAATTTGTATATATATATGTAAATATATCAAGTGTAAGTAATTCAAACTTTAAAAAAAGGGTAAAAAAACAACAACCCTAAAACCAGCGGAATGGATATTTTTAATTGATATTTTTATCAATAACCTTCTCTTCATTTTTAAATTATTTTTTAAAATTTGTTAAAAAAACAACGCAACAACCAATAAACAAAAGAATCATTCTAATAAACAATATTGGTTTTTAATCGGGTCTTTCAAACTATGTTTCTCTCTGATTTTGCTATGTTTTCAGGAAAATAATCCTTCAAAATCTGCTTAGATTGAACAATAGCAAAACGGAGTTGAATCTTGTGCGAATCAACTTGATAGATCAACAGCGTTTTTTGATTGTCAGGAGAAGAATTTTGTTTGGATAGGCCGAGTATGAAATTTTCTTTTGAACATTATCTTCCCTTTTCCCACAAGAATAAACGAAATAGATATATACATATTAATACATTGAAACGTAAAAACCCAACAAATTAAACAAAAAGAAAATTGTACAAAAAACGAAAACAAATGTAGAATGTATTTGACATGTTTTTAATATATGTAAATGTATCAAATGTAGATAACTAAAATGTAACTTATTCAACCAAAGGAAGGAAACACCCATTAAGGGCTGTCCTTTCTATACCCATTGGAACTGATCATTCACACAGGGAAAACTACAGCTTACATTCTTGTGATTGACACTTCTTAGATTGTATGTAGTTGTAGGCTGCTGCAGAGCCTGGAGATCGGGCCCGGACCGCACCTTGAGGTCTTTCCCGATAAAAAGGTAAAACTACCAGCCACAACAGGCCACAGGATGAAAATAGTAATTATAAACGGATCGCCACTCGCACAGAATACACAAGGACAGCGCAACAACAGACAAGAGCTTGATACCACCACTCACACTGAATACACAAGGAGACCCTCACGACAGACTAGAGCTTGTTACCACCGCTTAAACATAATACACAGGGAGAGCGCCACGACAGACTAGAGCTTGATACCACCACCTACCCAGAATACACAAGGACAGCGCCACGACAGACTAGAGCTTGATCCCACCGCTTAAACAGAATACACAAGCAAAGCGCCACGACAGACTAGAGCTTGATCCCACCACCTACACAGAATACACAAGTACATCGCCACGACAGACTAGAGCTTGATACCCCCACCTACACAGAATACACAAGGAGAGCGCCGCGACAGACTAGAGCTTGATACCACCACTCTCACAGAATACACAAGGAGAGCGCCGCGACAGACTAGAGCTTGATACCACCACTAACACAGAATACACAAGTACACCGCCACGACAGACTAGAGCTTGATACCACCACCCACACAGAATACACAAGGAGGGCGTAACGACACACTAGAGCTTGATACCACCACTCACACAGAATACACAAGGACCCCGCCACGACAGACTAGAGCTTGATACCCCCACCTACACAGAATACACAAGGACAGCGCCACGACAGACTAGAGCTTGATGCCACCACCTACACAGAATACACAAGTACATCGCCACGACAGACTAGAGCTTGGTACTACCACTCACACAGAATACACAAGGACCCCGCCACGACAGACTAGAGCTTGATACCCCCACCTACACAGAATACACAAGGACAGCGCCACGACAGACTAGAGCTTGATACCACCGCTCAAACAGAATACACAAGGAAAGCGCCACGACAGACTAGGGCTTGATACCACAGCTTAAACAGAATACACAAGGAGGGCGTAACGACAGACTAGAGCTTGATACCACCACTCACACAGAATACACTAGTGTTTTAGGTAAGTTTATAGAGTAGAAATATCCATTTTCGAGTAGTAAAGTTGTTTCCTTTAATTACAAGCAGATCTTTATGCATGTTTAGGTACCGTGATACTCGGCAATACCTAATTTAGAAAAATTCAAATAAAGACTTTACCTCTAATTTTAATTAATTACTCTCACTGTATGAATTAGTGTTATGACTAGTATGTGAGCTTGAGCAAAGTGTTAAACACTGAATTTCCTGTCATAAGCTAATGTTTAACAAAGGTTTTTACAGTCGTTCTTATTTTACATTTCAGTACATTACAACACGTGTCCTGAATACTTGGTATCTACAGCATCTGTATCTGCACACCAAAATGCTGCTGAATTTGTAACTTGTGAAGGAGGAATATTCCAATTCGTTTAGAGGACATTTACTATAACTGTGCCAGCAAGATAGCAGAAACCAAGTGACTAAAGAACATTTTAATTGTAAATTTTAAACAACCGAAACTCATGTTTCTATTCACTGACTGAAGAGAGTAGTACTTTTTATATTTAGATTTGGCCAAGTGATTGTCAAAAATAACTACGTATTTGCCAACAGCATGTATTTTTCCAAGTCGTTTCCAAGTTATAATAGCTAGTAATCCTGTACAAATTTAGACCTTTCATGTTTAATAACTACTGAGCAATTTTGATAGAATATCATGTAGTGAGAATCAGACGCCATACCTCAAGATGTTTTCTTATTATAGGCATTGAGATAAGGGAATTTATCCTTTTAATGGTTGAAGCGGTTTGCTTTGTTAATATATAATTGAGGGCACGATCAGAGGTGAGACAACACTGCCAGCTGGTCAGAGCCTTAGGAAAAACCTACCTCCCTCCTCCTAAATGGGGGTAGGGTTGGGTAGCCTGCTCTCCAGCATATTCTGATCTATCTTAGGTGGCAAAAATTAAATCTGAAAGATGAATCATTAAAAAACAAGGCAATCCATAGTTACCCACCGGTAATGATTTCTATATTCAACAAACGGTACACTACAGGATGCACCACATCTGGTTACTCCAGGTGAAATAGAATAGAAGATATGCCCTGGACAAACTTTTTTCAAAGCTTAAGGTCAAAGGTCAAAGTATAGGTCACAGTTGCCTAATATTTATCCTCTGCACTCCGCCATCCCAAGATGTCCTTGTACACCAAATCTGGTTACTTTCTGTGAAAAAGTATAGAAGATATGCCCCGGTCAAACTTTTTCAAAAGTTAAGGTCAAAAGTCAAAGCATAGGTCACAGTGAGGTCATAGTGACCTGCTTTTTGCACTCTGCATTCCGCCATCGCAAGATGTCATTGTACACCAAATCTGGTTACTCCAGGTGAAATAGTATAGAAGGTATGTTCCGGAAACCGGTGGGGGACTAATAAGTAAAATAAAAACAAAACAGATAATTTAATAAATTCGGCAGTGAGCCATTTACGCCAAAATCAATGTCTTTGTGTTATGATTTTGTAAAAATACATTTGTCTTTGGTTTGATTTGGAACTGTAAACATACTTGTTTTAGCAAAAAATAAATACAAATGATGAATAATATAATATGTTCATGAAGGAAAATGTTGAACCTGGCAGATGTAGAGTTGGAAAATCAGTCATGATTATAAGTACGTTATGTAAGAAATAACTACACTGATAAAATAAGTATGTTTACAGGGTCTCGATCATTTGGTTCTGTGGAGTAACGAGTTAATTAGTAGAATTGAAAAGATACTACATAATTGACAACTTGAGCTAATCTTTTATGATCCTCATCTATTTTGTCTACCTTTACGTTTAATTGAGTGTTTGGGAGCAGCTGTAATCAGGAATAGCAGTGATCTTTCTGTATTAACTTGTACATGATTCTTTTCAATTCTTCTAACTAATTCATGGAAATACAGTCGGCAAAGGGAGATAATCAAGCATGCAGTGCTGAATCAAGATGGCGATCATGTATAATGAAAATAGAAGATCACAAATACTGATGATCAAGATAACGAGAAATCTATTCACAATTTTTACAACTATTCTTGCTTCCAAGAGATTGATTCAAATTATTTAACATTACCACTGGTGAAATGTGCCTGTACAAATCTGTATTACTGCACACCCTGTGGAATCCGACATATTGGTTGAATAACTCAGTGTGTCATAATACACAGGTTTTATTTTGTATTTGTTATATAAACAAGAATCCCATAGAATATGATTTGCCTCTTTAGCCACAATAGTAAAATGAAAATCGGAACAAAACACATTTATAGCTGGACCAAATTACATGTACATATGTAACATATTAGGATCTATGTATACAGCAGTAAAGTGTACATGTACTTCTGAAGATGCATTTACAGTGGAAATTTATGAATCTGAAGCAATCAACCAGATAGTTCGTAGAAAAAGAGCTGAACTGTTCAATCTAGGATCAGTAATTGAATTATTAAGGATCCCTGTCACATTGTACTGTAGTTTTTCGTCATACACAGTTACCTCCCCTTAACTTCCGTTTAGCTGTAACTGTATGACAGATAGGCCTTTTATTTTATTATAAAATTAAACTTCCAAAATTGTATTTACTTGTATGGAATATATATAAGTTTAGGTGACGTTGGACTAAACGTTTTGAGATACAACACCCAAAACGAAGCTAGATGCAAAAAGTAACGTAACGTAACGTAACGTAATGCCGATGAGAATTATTTAGCAGTCACTGGACCAGGAAATGTGGGACACATTCAGTATATGATGCAGGGATTGCAATGTCAAAAATAATGTAACAAAAAGAATATAAAAATATTTCACCAATATAAAACAAATATGTGAAAACAATCGGAAAACTAACGCTAATGATATTTTATGGCAAATCATGTTCTATAAACTCTCTATGAAAATGAATTGCTGACATTTCAACATGCAGTTAAAGATGTACATTTTCGAGTCTTGGGACAATTATTGAATGACAACAGTGCAACATGCAAGGATGCTGATCGTGAATAGCGATAAAAAAATGCCATTTTTATTTATTTGCTGAATAGACGAATCATGTGGGAAAAAATCGAGGAAAATGGTGAAATACATTATTTTTAAAGAAAATTCTAGGCGGGGGAGGGGGTTCCTGTAGCCCAAAACCTCCCTCTTGATCCGCCACTGAAACATGAGCATAAATAACAAAAGCTTACCTATATTTTTCATCAAACTTTCTCAAAGTAGTGTTCTACACTCTACTGTTGGAGATGGCTGCGTTAAGTGTATTACTTCTTCAAAAGACTGAATAATGATGATGACCATAATATGTGGGTGTGTGCAGATCATGAAACAAGAGAGGACAAACAAATAGTGATAACAACTAGAAAACCAAATCACGTGCTATAAACTCTCTATGAAAATGAATTGCTGACATTGAAACATGCAGTTAAAAATGTTTATTTTCAAGTCTTGGGACAATATAATTGAAAGACAACAGTGCAACATGTGAGGATGCTGATCGTGAATAGAATGGTCTGAGCGATAAAACATGCCATTTATGTTCGAAGAATAAATTCAAGTGTGCAGGTTCCGTTATTTGGGGATGCTAGACTGTCAAAAGGTGATTTTCATGAAAAACCCGGTTTCCAGTAGATTTGCTGCATTTATATATTTACTACGGAGTGGCGTTATGATACGTGTCTCTGTTTAGACTGATATGTAGCCTAACCACGGAATTAGATTAGTTGTTATCTAAGTCCGTGGCCTAACGTTAGGCATAATTATTTATTATCATTCACCAAAAAAATTCTGATAGAGGTATGACAAGTTAGGTTATGCATGTCTATGTTAATTTCTGGTTGAAATCAAGGATGTTAATTAGCGGTACTCAGGACTTGGTTCTAAGGAAACCATGCACGTATTCCGGATGATGTCAGCAGTCGTTTGTTTTTAATATTTGATATATGTGTCATATTTCCGGTGTACTGTTTTTGACGTTAAATATTTCGATGAAAGGACTTTATCTGCAGGTAGGTCTAAATGACATTTATGTAGACACTTAAATGGTAACAGAAAATTTCGATATGTGAATGCACATTTCATATAACAAATCAATCACCCAGTCTGATGTTCTAAGAACAAGTTGCACAGCCGAGATCGTCTGCATAGAAATCTGCATACCACCTGCATACCACCTGGTGCATTGTTGCAGATGACTTATCAGTTCATCTGTCAATTGGCTCGCTATAAAAAAACGGAAGTAATACTATTTTTGTATAGTTACCTTATTTGACTACGTTGGAAGCAAACACAATGTAGGGTATCACGTGACTTAAGTTGGTGAATCAACGAATTTTAAAGATCTATTATCACGGCCGTTAGTGAGGGCGGAGCAAGGTTGTACTGTAAATCAGACCTACATGTATAGCTATACATTGTATATTACAGTATTTAGTAGTTAAAGAGTTTTCTAGAGGGATTCTTCTCCGATTTTGGTTATCATTTGGCGGGTCGTCGTTGTGTTTCATTGGGCGAGTCGTCTTCGTGCACTTTCGCTATATATAGAGCAGAGCCAGCGAGCGTTCTAATATTTAGACTATCAGCGTTCCTTGTCCACGATGCTCTCAGCTTAATTGCTGCCTTAGGCTGTCTTTAGATGAGGGGACTATTGGTTTTATATAATAGCTATATTTTCAATCATAGTCAGGCGCGTAGCTAGCCCCTTTACCATGTGTAAGCCCGACATAGGGTTGCCGAAGGCAGCCCCCCCTCCCCCCCGAAGCGCGAGCAGGGGGAGAGTATGGGAGGGGGTCTTCCACCCACCCACCCTTTTAAGGGGGGTCTGGGGGGTCTCCCCCATGAACATTTTGTTTTCTAGAACGTCTCAGGAGCCATTTACCACGTCTTGATGTCTGTTTTCTCGTTTTAATCCGCAAGAAAAAACTCAATCTATATCTATATACCTATTTACGTGGATCCAGTGTAATTCTGAAGATTAACCGTCGGTATTGCTTTGTACACCCTCCATACATACATTGTCTGGTTTTTACCTAATCTTGATAAATGCATTTGATACTTCTGCATTAGTGAACATGCAATTGGGTTTGTCTTTCTCATAATCTGATCCGAGTTAATTGGGAAGCGAGGTTACCCCCACTGTCACCTTTACTCAGTCTCCCACACAGTTTCGTCTTCTGTTTGTGCTTTGTGACTGGTTCCTTATACTTGCTCCTGTTATTTGTTGGGCATTTCGAGAAGCGAGGTTGCCCCACTAACTATTACTAATGTGTCATATCTGAGGAATTACATATTATGTATACTATATATTCAAAACTTAAACTCCACTTTATAGTATCAGCAAGAAAAACCCCGTCATGAAAACCTATACTTGTCAAAATCATGTGCAAGCCCGGGCTTATTGGCTTACATGGTAGCTACGCTCCTGATAGTATATCAGTTCTATCTTCTTGTAATATGATGTATATGTACATGTAACTGTTCTGTTTCACTGTGTCTTGATGAAGGACCGGATCGCTCCGAAAATTTGACAACCTTAACTTGTCCACACTGTTGGAATTACTTCTTTGCCCCATATATATATATGTATATATCTTAACGAATCAGCCCTTTGGATTACTTCAAACTTAACTTCAATGATTTATAAATATTGTATCCAGAGAGAATTTATGCATAGTATTTTACAATTTTTGTGCTTTTTATGTGTAAAAAATAATTTATTCAATGCTATAAAAACTGGATTTATATGAAGTTTCTATTCAAAATAAGAATAATATGCGAAATCACAATTTTTGTCATTTTTCAATACCCATCATTGCAGCCAAGAGAGGCAATAGATCTATGTATCATATATATATTGTGGATGAATACATTTGTTTCAGCAACTTACTGACTATATGTTTTATATGTCTGCTTTATGTACAGGTTTAGCAATAAAGAAAATGTATTGTTTCCTCAATTAAAAATTGAATCAGTTCAGCACATAAAACTATAGATTTTTTTTAAAACGTGCAGATTTGTAAAACAGCAAATTTTCTTTATGAATAAAAAAAAGCTGTGAGATAATAATCAAAAATGAAAATGTTACATTATGGATTCCATTTTTTTCTTCTATTTTTTTCGTGCAAAATATCAATTAAAAAATTCTTATGCAAATACTTATGTTTTTTATCCTATCATTTTGCATCACTGTGATAAACTCCCTTTTTGTTGACAACCAGCACGTTGTTTTGCTGATATTACGTTTTCTAAATATATACCACTGCAATCTCTATCCAGAGTTGTCGTAGGGAGTGCAAGGACGTAACTCTGCGTGAAAGTCTCGTTCAACCAGACTCTTTTATCTGCGCAAGCGTCTGATTGAACGAAACTACACTGCCGATACAATAATTTTTCGACCATTCAGAACTAGAATGTAGCCGGTAACGTTATGTCAAGAGAATTTACATCTTTAAATGGAAAGTATCAAATATTTAAGTATCCTATAGTTAGATAAAAGTTTTAAATATGACAAAAATGTAACGTTTGTTCAAGATTCGGCAAACGAGGACTTGTTTCGAGATCAAGATGGCGGAGACTGCAGCGCATGATGGCGGCCATGTTAAGACAAGTTTTTCAGTTTCATAGGTATTGTGAATAATCTTCATTTTTCTTACATACATGTTACCTATAGGGAGAGCTTCGCTCTCACGGGCCCTTAGTAGTGATCTTTAATTGAGTTAACCAGTGCACTTAAATTGAGAGAGTTGTGTAAACATTTAGTTTTGTAAATGTAGTGTTTCAGGGTTCGAAATTTGCTCTTATTTACACGCAATTTTCGTCAGGATTTTGAGACATGCGTTTTGATATGGGTTCCAAAACGAAAATAATTGCGTCTGGTATTTTACTGCAGCATGTGTGTATAAATTGTGTCAATATTTCCGGATCATCGATCTATTTGTACCATGTACCAGTCTATGGTCAGGACCCGTCGATGTGCCGATCAAAACATAATCTGTAAGTTGTACACATGTGTGCGTGTCTAAATATAGCACAAGTACTAAGTCTCGTTTAGTCTCGGCAATAACGAGAGTGTCGTTCGGAACATATATATGTGCAGACAGCGTCAAATGTCAGAGCTCAAACGATGATTACGTTGTTTTTTTAAAGAAAATTGGAACCTGACGGCACTGAAGGCACTAAAAAAGTGCATACACTAACAGAACCACCGGCGAAGACTGAAGCTCAGCCTCTCGTACAAATAAAAACAGAACAGAAATGGCAGCGTGACCTACATGACATAGGCTACATCATGACATTGCCGTTGGATGATTCTTAAATAAAATTTTGACGTCCAAATATTTTGCTTCTTGATTTGTCAATTTGCTTCTAACTTTTGAAACCACAAACAACAGTTTGCTTGTGGATTTAAAAATTAAATTCAATCCTTGAGTTTTATAATACATGTATTTTTAGCCCAACATCATCTGATGGTGGGCTATTCAAATCACCCTGCGTCCGTGGTCCGTCCGTTGTCCGTCGTCCGCCGTTCGTCGTCCGTCGTCCGTCCGTAAACAATTCTTGTTATCGGTATTTCTCAAGAAGTACCAGAGGGATCTTTCTCAAATTTTATATGCAGGTTCCCCTTGGTCCTTAGCTGTGCAGGGCAACTTTTGAGACTGATCGGATAAACAACATGGCCGACAGGCAGCCATCTTGGATTTTGATAGTGAAAGTTTGTTATCGCTATTTCTCAAGAAGTACCAGAGGGATCTTTCTCAAATTTTATATGTAGGTTCCCCTTGGTCCTTAGCTGTGCAGGGCAACTTTTGAGATTGATCGGATAAACAACATGGCCGACAGGTAGCCATCTTGGATTTTGATAGTGTGGGTTTGTTACCGCTATTTCTCCGGAAGAACTAGAGGGATCTTTCTTAAATTTTATATGTAGGTTCCCCTTGGTCCTAGCTGTGCAGGGCAATTTTAGAGACTGATCGGATAAACAACATGGCCGACAGGCAGCCATCTTGGATTTTGATAGTGAAAGTTTGTTATCGCTATTTCTCGGGAAGTACGGGAGGGATCTTTCTCAAATTTTAAATGTAGGTTCCCCTTGATCCCTCGTTGTGTATGTTATATTTTGAGACTGATCATAAAAACAAAATGGATTAAAAGAAGAACTAAACAGATCTTTCTCATATTGCAATGATCGATTCTATTTCTTTCACATTAAGTACTGTACTAGTAAATATGTGAAATGACAAACTCACTTTGAAGGTTGGCTTTCATACACATCAGTATTAAGTTTAGATCAAAAGTTACCTCAAGGTGCATTTACTGTTAACATGACTCGATCAAACAGATTAGAGGAAAGAAGAGAAAAGATCGAACTGACAAAGAACTAATGAAGATGGTACAAAGGTGTACACAAAGGGCTTGTAACTAGGTTTGACATAAATAAATATGAATTTGTTGTCAAAATATTATGAAGAATTCTAAATTGAAACCACTGAAGTTTTGAAATATTTGTTATTTTGAAAGATAAAGAAAAAATATTCTCCCAAGCAGATTCATCAAAATCAAAATGTTCTGTCCATTTTTTCCTACCTGTTGGAATTTCTTAATTCTTTGAGATAATTTTATATATGTCTTTTATTCCTTTAGTGTTTTTGATAAATAATTCTATGTTTAGTGGAATAAAAGGGAGAAGAAGTTCTGTATTCTGAATCCTGTGTATTTCAATATTAGTTCTTATAGTATTAATAATACCTTGAAATTTAAGAAAATCTGTAAATATATTATATTTCCATGTGAATTCCTGATAAGATTAGAAGGTGAGAGAGCTAACATCTTTAAACATGTCATTTACTACTCTTACATCTTTAGAATATCAGTCTTTATAAAGAATAGAATGTCCACCAATGACCAGTTGTGGGTTGTACCATAGCGGGGTTCAGTCTTTATAAAGAATAGAATGTCCACCAATGACCAGTTGTGGGTTGTACCATAGCGGGGTTCAGTCTTTATAAAGAATAGAATGTCCACCAATGACCAGTTGTGGGTTGTACCATAGCGGGGTTTTCAGGAGAGAAAGTTGTTTTCTATGATTCACCTTCATAACATCAGAATTAATCAATCTTTTCCAAGCTTTAATCACATCTGACCAAAAACTATTTTTACAACTTTTTTGACATTTATATATGTAATCACTTCCACAGTTCATGTTAAGATCTGTGTTGAAAAGACTCTTGAATATAACTTGCCACTTGCTAGAACTTTGACAAAATCTTCTGATCCATCCTTATTTTAGAGCCCAAAACCCCCCTCTGGATCCGCCACTGAAACATGAGCATAAATAACAAAAGCTTACCTATATTTTTCATCAAACTTTCTCAAAGTAGTGTTCTACACTCTACTGTTGGAGATGGCTGCGTTAAGTGTATTACTCCTTCAAAAGACTGAATAATGATGATGACCATAATATGCTTATTTTAGAGCATCTTTAAAATCTTGAGTGCTAATCATTGCAGTTTTTTCAAACATCAGAACTTCTGTTGCAAATGTCCATATCGCATATGACCATATATGTCGTCGATTTCTTCTTCTTCTTCCATTACAAGGATCAGAACTCCAAGGTTGGAGTTGACCCTGGGAGGTGGCATTTCAGAGATCTGTTGTGATATTTCCCACAAATAAACTAAAGTCCTTATACTACCGTCCTATAGCCCCTTAGTTAAAATCCTATAAACACATTTTGGCTACCTTTATGATTTTAGAAAATATTTTGTTTCCAAACAATGGCGGTCCAGAGACCTTCGGTAACGATTTCGCATATTCCATTTCATATGCAAAAGTTGCAGTTTGGAAACCAATTCCATAGGTTCATTTGATGTATGGCAAATAAACACACAAAGCAAGATATATATAATTCAAGTAATTTTATTAACATAACAATTGTAAATCTGTATCACAAAAACTTCTCAGCAGCAATAAGTAATAACCATATCGCTGTATAGCTGTAGCAGAACTGGTCTAAGTCGATCATCAGCGACCAGATAGCTCAATTGGTTGAGCATCCGTCTAGAGTTCGGAGGGTCCCAGGTTCGAACCCCTGTCTGGCTGTGCATTTTTCCTCTCCCGTTACATGACAGCTATTAATCAAAGTCTATATCCTACCAGCCAATTTAAAATCAGTTCAGGCTATTTACTTTAGTAATGAGTAATGACATAAAGTAAATTATTTAGTTGTGCGAGTCCTTTAAGGTTGAATTGCCATGTTCAGGTGACCCTCATCTTTCATTGATTCTCTGTTGTTTATGACTTCTTTGTCGAATGACGGTGCTGTGTTCATGTCTCTAAACACTTTGCTAGAACTTTAACAGGCATAATTAGCAAACAAATCTGAAATTGTTCTATTTGCAGGCTGTGTAGTATGGCTTGGTGCCATGGATAGCTCGAGGGGTGATTATATGGACTTGTCAGTGTTAAGTTTCCTGGTTGCACCTTTGTCTATTGACCAGGTCTCTGAAAATATATGTCCATCGATTACAGTACATGATTTCTACAAGACAATTTACCTTGCCTCATACATTGTAGGTGTCTCATTTTTGCCACAATGGCCTCTGTACCAAGTTTGAACACCTGGATGTTGAGCCTCAGACTTGTTTAGGCCATAGTCCTCATCCAAATTGTATTTAGTTTGACAAGTAGAGATAAAAAACAATTCAAGAAAGTTTTAAAATTTAATAATCAAACAATTATTTACATTGAAGGAGCAATTAAAAAAAAGCACACAGATAAACACACATTTTCAAAAGCACAGTCATCTAAACACACTTTTCTTATCACAGTTTTTAGCTCACCTGGCCCGAAGGGCAAAGTGAGCTAAATATGCCGTGGTGCGTCGTCCGGCGTCAATATTTTACTTTAAACAACTTCTCCTCAATAACAAAAAGGCCTAGGGTTATGATTTTTGGCCAGTAGCATGCTACCAAGTTTGTTCAAGTGAATGACCTTGACCCACTTTCAAGGTCACAGGTGTCAAATGTCTTAAAATCTACAAACGACTTCTTTTCAATAATCAAAAGGCCCAGGGTACTGATAATTGGGCCTGTAGCATGCTGGGATGAAGGGCTACCAAATTTGTTCAAATGAATGACCTTGACCCACTTTCAAGGTCACTGATGTCAGATGTCTTTAAAATCTTCAAACAACTTCTTCTCAATAACCAAAAGGCCCAGGGTACTGATATTAGGCCTGTAGCATGCTGGGATGAAGGGCTACCATGTTTGTTCAAATGAATGACCTTGACCAACTTTCAAGGTCATTGGGGTCAGATGTCTTTAAAATCTTCAAACAACTTCTTCTCAATAACCAAAAGGCCCAGGGTACTGAAATTGGGCCTGTAGCATGCTGGCATCAAGGGCTACCAATTTTGTTCAAATGAATGACCTTGACCCACTTTCAAGGTCACTGGGGTCAGATGTCTTAAAATCTTCAAACAACATCTTCTCAATAACCAAAATGCCCAGGGTACTGATATTGTGTCTGCAGCATGCTGGGATGAAGGGCTACCAAGTTTGTTCAAATGAATGTCCTTGACCCACTTTCAAGGTCACAGGGGTCAAATGTCGTAAAATCTTCAAACCACTTCTTCTCAATAACCAAAAAGGCCGGGGTACTGAAATTAGGCCTGTAGCATGCTGGGATGAAGGACTACCAAGTTTGTTCAAATGAATGACCTTGACCAACTTTCAAGGTCACAGGGTCAAATGTCGTAAAATCTTCAAGCGACTTCTTTTCAATAAGCAAAAGGGCCAGGGTACTGAAATTGGGCCTGAGGGGCGGGGGCCTGATGGGGCGGGGCCTGAGGGGCGGGGCCCAATATGGGAAACATAGCAAAATATTCTTTAAAATCCTTCTTCTTCTGTAGGAATGAAAGGATTTGGTTTATATTTGGTCTTAAGCATCATTGGGTAAAGGGGAACTAATTTTGTATAAACAGTGGGTTTGGCCCCCCCTGGAACCTGAGGGGTGGGGCCCAATAGGGGAAATATAGGTAAAACCTTTGTAACCCTTCTTCTACCATAGCGATTAAGGGATATTATCCTAATTTAGTCTGGAGCATTCTTAGGCAAAAGGGACTCAATTTCGTTTAAACAACGAGTGTGGCCCCTCTGGGAGGGGCCCAATAAGGGAAACAGCAGATTCTTTAAAATCCTTCTTCTTTTGTAGGAATGACAGGATTTTTTTCAAAATGTGGTATAAAGCACTCTGGAATTGGGTGAAGGGGAACACATTTTGTATAGA